TCAGGCGCTTTGGAGGATAGCTTGACTCCCTCCCTCTTCTTTGGGGCAGCCCCTGAGATATTGGAAGGCTGCTATCATGTCACCTTTAGTCCTGATACAAAATGGGCAGAGTTGGAAGGGACCTTGGAGGTCTTCTAGTCCAACCCCCTGCTCAGGCAGAAAAAGCTAGACCATTTCAGACAGAAGTGACTGTCCAGTCGCTTCTTAAAAATCTTCTCCTCCAAGAAGCTTCTTCGGTCTACCAACCAACCCTTGAAGAGCTGAAGAAGCTTCTTGGATGAGAAGCAAAACGTTTTCAGGGGAAAAAAAACTCAAGAAAAAGAGCCCTGGTGGCTCAGGGGAGAGAATGCAGCCTTGCAGGTTAATTCTGCCCGCTGCCAGCAGTTCAATCCTGACCGGCTCAAGGTCGACTCAGCCTTCCAGCCTTCCGAGGTCAATAAAATGAGGACCCAGATGGTTGGAGGCAAATAGGCTGACTGTAAAACTGCTTAGAGGAGAGGGCTGTGAAGCGGTATATAAGTCTAAGGGCTATTGCTGGTGCTAAAATCCAGTTGCCTTTTGGAAAAACACCTTTGGGATGTAATTATTATTGTTGTTGTTGTTATTGTTATTGTTATTGTTACTGTTATTATAAAGTTGGAAGGGAACTTGGAGGTCATCTAATCCAACCCCCTGCTCAGGCAGGAAACCCTATACCAGGGGTAGAAAACCTTGGCTCTTTTATGAGTCATGGAATTCAACTCCCAGAATTCCTCAGCCAGCCACGCTGAGGGGAAAGGGAGAGGTTTCCAAGCTGAGCCATGCTGGCTCAGGAATTCTGGGAGTTGAAGTCCACGAGTCATAAAGTGGCCTAGGCCAGGGGTAGGCCACCTGGGCTCTTTTATGACTGGTGGACTTCAACTCCCAGAATTCCTGAGCCAGCCATGCTGAGGGGAAAGGGAGAGGTTTCCAAGCTGAGCCAGGCTGGCTCAGGAATTCTGGGAGTTGAAGTCCACGAGTCATAAAAGAGCCAAGGTTGCCTACCCCTGGCCTATACCATTCCAGACAAGTGGCTGTCCAGTCTCTTCTTAAAATGTCCACCGGACAGTGTTGGCACTCAACAAAAACTCTTTTTAAGACTCAGGTGAGGCCTGGGCATGACTCCCGAGAGGGATGCCTCCACTCCGCCCTCAGCTCCCAGAGGCCCTGGGGGGAGAGAGGGTCCACAGGCCCCTTTTACAGGTTTTGAAGGACAGCATCTCGACTGGCAAGCCCCCCGAAGCTTTACCCAGTGGTCCCCTTTCCTTCTTTCAGCTGCTGGACCTCTTTCTCCAATGGGACTGGTCGACGTACCTGGCCGACTACGGGCAGCCCACCTGCAAGTACCTTCGGGTGAACCCGACGACCGCGCTGGCCTTGCTGGAAAAGTGAGTGTGCCCGCGGGGGCTCTCCACCCCCCCTGGCTCCGCCTGAGAGCCCCCTGCTAGCTGCTGCTTTGCCCAAGCTGCCTGGGGCAGGGATGGGGGGACCGCGGCCTGCTCCGTGAGGGGCCCAGCTTGGCACAAGAGCTTCTGCTGATGGCGATGCTGCATGTGGTGCTGGGTTGTGGTTGTCGCTGGTTGAGTCTCCAGGACAGGGAGGGTCTAATGCACCTGGACTGGCCAGTGGGAATAAAATGCCTGGGATTCAATCAAGCCATTGGAATAGAGCTGAAAGGGGACCTTGGAGGTCTTCTAGCCCAACCCCCTGCTCAGGCAGGAGACCCTATACAATTCCAGACAAACGGTTGTCCAATCTCCTCTTAAAAACCCTCCGGTGATGGAGCACCCACAACTTCTGGTGGCCAGCCGTTCCACTGGTTCATTGTCCTCACTGTCAGGAAGTTTCTCCTTAATTCCAGGTTGCTTCTCCCTTTGATTCGTTTCCATCCGTTGCTTTTTGTCCGGCCTTCGGGTGCTTTGGAGAATAATCTGAACCCCCCCCCCATCTTCTTTGTGGCAGCCCCTGAGATACTGAAAGATTGCTATCATGTCTCCCCCCCCCACCCAGTCCTTCTTTTCTCTAGACTGGCCATTCCCAAGTCCCGCAGCCGTTCTTCCTATGTTTTAGTCTAGGGCCAGAGGTAGGCAACCTTGGCTCTTTTATGACTGGTGGACTTCAACTCCCAGAATTCCTGAGCCAGCCATGCTAAGGGAAAAGGGAGAGGTTTCCAAGCTGAGCCATGCTGACTCAGGGATTCTGGGAGTTGAAGTCCACGAGTCATGAGGGGGCCATAATTCCCCCATGCTGGCTCAGGAATTCTGGGAGTTGAAGTCCACCAGTCACAAAAGAGCCAAGGTTGCCTACCCCTGGCTTAGACCTTGGGAAATGGGGGACACAGGAAGGAGGAAACGTGTGGAAGGCTATATGTGGGGCCCCCCTAGTTGCTTCATGGAGTGGTGGGGAAGAGGCCCTCCTTGGAGGATGAAGGAGAAGATGGGGTGAGGACCACATGGAGGTCCTGAGTGCGAGTGACTTGGAGGCCTCTTCTTTGGGGGCTCTGCTGGTCCTCTCTGTGTGGCCCCTGGGAGAAGGTGACAACACACACACACACCCTGCAGTCTCTGGGTCAGACAAGACCCTTGTGTGGCACTTATCCTGCAGCAGCAGAGCTGGGGGGCAGACGGGGTTGAGCTGGCAAAGGAGGGGTCACTAGCTGGTGCTTGCATGTGCCGCCTTGGCTTGGCTGCTGGGCTGGACGGCCATTGGGGCTCTTTTGGGGACCAGATGTGGGGCTGTGGGGCTGAGGGCAACAACCTGGAGCAACGAGAGGTCTTCTGACCAAAGGGCTCCCCCTCCTCCTCGGCCACGCTCCAGGCTCCCTGTGGTCCTCAGGGGAACCTGCCAAGGCCGGCCCCAGCTGCTGCCCCCTTTGCCCCCATGCTGGAGGGCTTGCATGGCGCCTCGGTGGGAGTAGGAGAGCCGGGAAGTGGGACAGACAGCTGTGCCAGCCACTGCTTAACTTCTCCTCTTGGTTTGTCTCTCCTTCCTCTCCCTGCCCCTCCCTCCTCCCGGCAGGATCTCCCGAGAGTAAGTATGTGTGGGGTGGATTGGCCGGCCTCCTTAGCCTGTGCAGTGCGAAGGGCGCCCAGGCCCCGTCCTGGAACTGGACCCTCCAAGCCCTCGTAGGTCCCAGAGGTGCTTTTCCAAAAGGCAACTGGACTTTATGGGGTTTTTTTTACTTTGAAAACCTTTCGCTTCTCATCCAAGAAGCTTCTTCAGTTCTAACTCGTTAGAGTCAGAACTTCGGTCAGAACTGAAGAAGCTTCTTGGATGAGAAGTGAAAGGTTTTCAAAGTTAAAAAAAAACCCAAGAAAGTCCAGTTGCCTTTCGGGAAAAGCACCCTCGGGACAACCGGATGACGGAGAAGCTCCACAGACATTGAGCCGTTCTCTGAATGCTGCTGCTGGGCTGGCGGTCACTCTCTGTGGACGGGGCGGTTGGGGCTGAGAGTTTGGACCCCTCCTTTCTCCTTGTTGCTTCTGGCCTGGACCCCAACCGAGCCGGCGAGGGGTTGATTTTGGTCAAGCCCTGGAAATCGTAGTGTTCGGGTTGGGTTCCCTGGCTGGCGGTGGTCGCCCTCCGTCCAGAGGCTGAATGAAGGCCATTGCATTGACCCACTTTGGGACGCGATGGCTCGGTGCTCAAAGCCGCTGAGCTTGTCAGCTGGAGAGCTGGCAGCCCACGTCCGAGACCCCGTTCCGTGCAATGGGATGCGCTCCCGTTCCTCCCGTCCCAGTTCCTGCACACCTGGCAGGTTGAAAGCATGCAAGCGCGAGTAGATCAATAGGTCTCACTTTGGTGGGAAGGGGGCAGCGTTCCCTGCACCTTTGGCAGTGTAGCCACGCTGGCCTTGCCTCAGGAAGGGCTGTCCTGCAAGAGGTGCCTGGAAAAGGCCCAGCCAGCCCCTCCGAGACCTCCAGAGCCGCATCTTCCCCTGCCTTGGGACGGGCTCTGTGGCTGGACCGGGCTGCAGAAGACGCTGGCCAGTCCCTCCGCCTATCTCCACCTCGCTGGCTAGGCCAGGGCCCCAGAGAGGCATCTCAGCCAGCCAGCTCCCCTCCTCCTCCTCCTCCTCCTCTTTTGCCCACCCCTCTCAGAGGTGGGAAGGAAGCCCGTGTTGCCCCTTCCCCTGTCCTCGGCTCCTGGATCTCCAGAGCTCTTTTCGGTCACCTGGGGTCTTCCTTCCACCTTCCGCTGCTGGGCCTTGAGCCCCACACAGTGTCCTGGGCACGGACTGAGCATGTGGGGCGTCCTCGTCGCACGCTGGAAGACCCCTGCCACCTTCAGGGCGTTTCTTCCGCCCGTTGTGTAGATGTCGGGCACGCCAACCTCTCCTACTTCCTCCCCTCTTCCTTTCCTGCCTGCCTGGCTGGCTGGCTGGGGGATTCTGGGAGTTGCCGTCCAGCCATCTTCAAGCGGTCCAGGTGGAGAGACGTAGCTCCAAGTTGTGTTTGTGACGACACAGTTGTCATTTGCACAGTTAAGGTCGTTCCGCACCAGACGCCTCTCCAAGTGGGGTGACCTCAACTTCTGGCGGGGAGACCCCTGGCCCTTTTTGCCCCGGCTCTCCCCAAGGAGAGTCTCCACCGCTCAGGAGCCCCTGCGTTGCCGTCTTCGGGGTGTGTGTCTGCGTGTTTATGTGTGTGTGTGTGTTCTATCTGACGGAGTGTTTCTCCCCCACCCCGCCTCAGGATGAAGGACACCAGCCGCAAGAACAATGTCTTCGCCCAGTTCCGGAAGAACGAGAGGGACAAGCAGAAGCTGATCGAGACGGTGGCCAAGCAGCTGCGCACCCTCATCAGCAGCAGCCACCACTCGTGAGGGGCCGCAAGCCGCCTGGTGGCCCCGGGTGGGCGGAGGGGGGGCTTGGCAGGGCAGGGCCTGTGCCCAGCTACCGCCAGGAAGGGGTGGTGGAGCAGCTCCAGGGAACCAGCGTCGCTGCCGGAGGATCGGTGGCGTGCAACTTGCGGGGCCTGGTCACCTCCCGGGACTGCTCGGTGGTGGCCCCCTCTTTGGAGGAGCCCGGCTCACTTGGGGAAGACTGCTCCTGGAACTGGAAGCTCAGAGCCCCAGAGAGCCTTCCAGGAAGGCGGAGGCCGGGGGCCCGTCAGCACTTCCGGGTTCCTAGACGCACCTTGTCAATGAAGCTCTAATGCAGGGCTGTCCCGCCATGGCCCCTCGAAGGCTTGTGGACTTCAACTCCCAGAATACCCTAGACAGCCTGAGGAATTCTGGTAGTTGAAGTCCACAAGTCTTCGAGGGGCCAAGGCTGGACCCTCCTGGTTTCAAGGGAACAATTTACACTTTCAAAGGGAAACATTTACAAGAAACACCCCTGTGGGGTGTCCCGGACCCCCGTTTCACACCCCCACACCCCATTTTGTCTCCTTTCCTCTCTTGCTCCTTCGGCCGCCTTTGAAACACAAACCGCTCTTTTTTTAAAAAAAAAAAAAATAATGTATGTGCCCTCCTCTCTATTTCTTGTCGATCCATTTTTTCCGATTTCTCAGCCGGGAAGGAGGGAAGCATTTTCCTCAGACAGACGAAGGGAATTGGAGCTCTTTAAAGTACGCCCGACGGGAAACAAGAACTCTGTTTTAAAAACCCGAGACTCCCGTTTTTAATGAAAAGAAGGGAACTCTGGGCAGCGCTCTCTGAGGTTTTGCCCGACCTCGTTGGGTCAAAAAAGTCAAGATGGCGGCCAGCCCATGCAGCTGCAGCCCCGTTCTTTTAAAGCAGGGGTCCTCAACCTTGGCCACTTTAAGACTTGTGGACTTCAACTCCCAGAATTCCTCAGCCAGCAAAGCTGGCTGAGGAATTCTGGGAGTTGAAGTCCACAAGTCTTAAAGTGGCCAAGGTTGAGGACCCCTGTTTTAAAGGGTGCAGCGGCCGCCATCTTGGCTTTTCCCAATTCCCCCATCACCACCAAAGCCCTGACTCATAGACGCCGCTGCCTCCCTCCCTTCTGCCCGCATTTGTGCCAAGGACCCCACTTTCCATGTGGCAAATAATCCACAGCCATAATGAGAGGAATATTACATTCCCCCTCCCCGTTTTATGTGACTTTCATTTTACCTCAAGCCAAGCTGCAGGGCAGCCCCCCTCCCTAAAGCAGCTGCCCACAAACCACCCAGAGACCCCCCCCCAAATGTGGGTATTTGTGGCCAGAGAGGACGGTGTCCGTCTCTCGTCCGTCTCAGATCTTCCCCGTTGGCTCCTCCATGGACATCAGGGTGGGGTGGGGGTCACCCTGATGAAATAGTTCAGGGGTCTCCAAGCCGGCCCGCTTTAAGACTGGCGGACTTCAACTCCCAGAATTCCCCAGCCAGCGGTGCTTGGAGTCCGCCAGTCTTAAAAGTGGCCCAGCTTGGGAGACTGCTGGGATGGCTCGTTGGGCCACTTGTGAGAGGCCGCGAAGCCCACTCCTTGGACCTGGGTGCGAAGCCCGTTCTCCGTCTGGGGGCCCAGCCGTTCGGCTGCAGAAGGGCTGGCCCTGACTGGATGGACAAGTGCCTTAGAGGAGCTGAAATGTCTGTGGACCAAGCAGACAAAGGGGGCCCCCTCCCCAGCCAAGGGCCCTCCGCCATCTTGCCTTTGGGGCTCGTCTTTGGGGCTCGCTGTTGAGCCACAGAACACACCCCCCACCCCACATTGCACAGGTCCNAGAGACGCAGGCCGGCCCTGTGGAGTTCCTCGGGTCTCCTTGAGTTTCCCACCTCTTGTGGGGCTTGGCTGGGTCCTTCCGGTTGCCCTTCCTCTGCCACGCCCTGAGAGGTCTTCTCTGGGAGGGAGGAGCAGACCAGGGCCCTCTTCTCCTGACCCGTGAGAGAAGGGAGTCTCTCCTTCTGTTTCACTCTGGCCACATGGCTGGCCGGCCGCTGGGAGGACCTAGAGCACGGGTGTCACACTCGCCACCTCACGTGAAGTGTCGTGACGTATCACAGCTTTTTTTTTGCACTGCCGGACCTGGGGCGGGCACGGCCTCCGCACGATGCAACTGGCCCGTGGGCCGGCAGTTTGACACCCCTGACCTAGAGGGAGCCCTGGAGGTCTGTCGTGCCCAGCTTCCTGTCCAGAGCAGGCAAAGCCCCCAGAGCCTCCGAGACCGGCCCAGCGTCTTCCCATCCCTCGATTAGCCAGAACTGTCCAAGGCCTCATCAGCTTCCAGAGCTGATCGGGGCGATCCCGGAGGGACCCAGTCATCTTTGTTCTTCCTCCCTTCAAATCCAGTCTGCCTTGTGGGTCACCTGGCCCCGATGAGGCCGATCTCACCACTGAGAGGGGCTGGGACCCCCTTTGCAGGGACCCCACCTCTGAACATCGGCTGGTCTGCTGGCCTGGGGACCAAGACCTGGGTGGAGATCGGCTTTTGCCACAGCTGCCCTCCCTCGAAGGATCCTGTTCAAGACCCGGCCCGGTCTCCGGGCCCAAAGACCCCCCGCCCGGTTGGCCTTACCCAGCCACGGACAAGGGGAGGCGAGAAGGCCTGGTGTCTCCTCCAGCCTGGATCTTGTCCGCTTCTGCAGCGCCCCAGAGGTTGGCCAGTGGAGCCAACCGCAGCGGCCCAAACAAGCCCACCTGGCCCCCACCCACAGGGCCAGCCTTCCGGCACCTGGGCGAGCGGCTGTAGGGCGCCCATCCGGCTCCTGCTGAGACCCTCCCATTTTGAGAGGGTCCCGCTGCAAACGGCTCTTCCACGTAGGCTGGTCAAAGCGCACCTGAAGCGACTTCATCACCCTGAAGACCTTCCAAAGAGTGCAACCCATTTCGGGGAAGAGTTTGTGTGTGTGTGTGCGTTCTCTCATTTTAAGTTTTGTGTGAAAGGAACAGGGCAAAATACCTCAACCGAGGACAGACCGATGCTGAAGGAGAGGGTCTCCCTCCCTCCCTCCTTCGGGGAGCTTGGAGCAGTGTTTCTCAACCTTGACCATTTTAAGGCATGTGGACTTCAACTCCCAGAATTCCACAGCCAGCAACGCTGGCTGTGGAATTCTGGGAGTTGAAGTCCACATGCCTTAAAATGGTCAAGGTTGAGAAACACTGCCTTGGAGGAACCGTCTTAGCCATCTGAGCAGAATCTGGACTGGGGGGGGGATTGATCAGGTTGACCCCCAGGGGGTTCTTGACCGCTGGGTCCCGTCGTCTCCTGCCGGTTCTAAGGACTTGCAGTAAACTCCCACCTGGTGGTGCCTTTTCCTCTCCTTGCCTAGGTTCGAACCTCACCCGGGAGACGAAGACCATGGCTGCTTCTTGGGATGTCCCCTGAGAAGGGTCTGTTCCCTGGAAGGTGGGGGGGCGGCGTCTCCCCTACTTCTCTCTACAAAGAGGGGCCCCGATTCCCCACCTTTCTTGTCCCCTCGGAGTTCAGAGCCAGGATTTGGTTAGTTTTGCCCTTGGCTGAAATATCCCCCCCCCCCTCATCCAAAGCGGGGCTTCCCAACCTTGGCCACTTTTAAGACCTGCGGACTTCAACTCCCAGAATTCATGGCTGGCTGAGGAATTCTGGGAGTTGAAGTCCGCAGGTCTTAAAAGTGGCCAGAGTTGGGGACCCCTGGTCTAAAGAGAAGAGGTCTCCCCTGTTTTCCTGATGTCTCCTTCCTTGAATTCTCAAACCACCATCGTAGGACACCTTGGCCCCAATCTCCGCTTTTTTTAATCTCCTGGTTTTGGGTGGAGCTGAGCAGGCCCACCGGTCCGTTCTGGAGGGGAGGCCAGGTGCCCCAAACGTCAAGACGGGATCTGGCGGCCCACCCGGAGTTGGCCGGCGCTCCCTTCTGGCACCGGCAGGATCCACGGCAGCTCGCCAACCGTTTTGCCAGGATTGCGGACATCTTTCCATCTCGGTTCTCTCTTCTGAGTAGTTTTCTCAACAACCCCACATTTTGGGGTGCCCTGGAATCAAATTTACAAGTGACCTTTGGAATTGGTGGTGGCCAAGGAGGGTGGATGCTGTGGCTTAATTGGCCACAAACTGGGGAAGGGTTGAAAAGCGGCCCCGTTGCTTCCACCACGATGCCCCACAACATACAAGCTTCTCAACCAGTCCGTTATGAATTGCTCCACGCGCAGGTCTGTCTGTGCGCACATAAATAAACACGTAGGATAGTTACTTTGGATGGATATTTCTAAAACTAAGGCGGGGAATAGAGGTGTTTTTTTATTTGTTGTTTTTTGCACACAATGGAAAACTTGGGATTCGCGTAAGGGACTTCTCCTGGCCGGGCAACGCAGCTGTTGGGATTCAGCGGATAAAATGGGACGGTGTGGGTTTACCAGTTAAACTGCGTTTCAATACTAGCATGTGGATTTGGACTGTACATATATTCTCCTGTTGTACCTTTTATTAAAGCTGTATGAATGTACACGCTGGGCTTGCTCATCCCTTGCGTTCTCCAGAGAGAGCAACGAATCCTTCAACGTGCTTGTTGCGAATAACGCCAGGGTGTGTGTGTGTGTAACTAAACATGACCCACAAACATTGCAGAGATATGAAAGTATTGGGGGACCCCTCCACCCCCACCCCAGTTGCAAGCAGTGGCCGATTTTGGATCCTCCAGTTCCCTGGCTTAAAGGCCCTTCTCCTTTGCCCCCCCCCCCCGACCATTGAAAACACGGGGCCCTCAACCACTTTCTCATCCTTGCCTCCTCCCCCGGAAAGGCTTTGAGGAAAGGGGGGGCTGCTGCCGAAGGCTGGGAGAGCCGAGCCGATCTCCCTTTTGCTCTGAGGAGAAAACGCAGCCCAGGCCAGCTTTTAATCTCCCGCTTCGTTCTTAGCTACTTGATGATTTCCGCCTTTCAGGATCACCTGGACAATCGGAAGC